TCCAAAGTGGTATACCTGTTATTGAAGGGAATGGCCACAGGGAAACCCTGCATTATCTGCCTTCCCCCTTTAACTCTTCTGGTGGTCACCCAACTACCTGTAGCCTACACCTTGGGAGTGACCACTTCACTACATTTCTTATCAATGATGTTCTCTGCACCCCGGATGATCCCGAGTGCATCCAGCTCCAGTTCCCTAATGCAGTCTGTCAGGAGCTGCAGCAGGGTGCACTTCTCACAGGTGTAGCCACCAGGGATACTGGAAGTCTCCCTGATCTCCCACAACCTGCAAGAGGAGCATGTTACTGCCCTAATTGCCATCCCCACTGCCTTCAGTCTAGACAGAAAGAGAATAAAGAGCCCTTCTCTGTACCCCTGCTCAGCCTCCTCACGCCAAAACCTCTCAAGCAAAGGCCTCAGCACTTCCACTCTAACACTAGCCCACTCTCTTATTGGCTGTTCCCTCGTACACCTTTACCTTGCCAGTTCCCTCGTACACCTTTACCTTGCCAGTCGTCCTCCTCACAGAGCCCTTTTTCTGTTGGCCAGAGGAGGGAGGGAGAGTGATAAACACCAATGTAGGGTCTCAAGTTTAACCACACTTTGACACCAGGTTCTCTGACATGCTGTAGAGTCGTGAGGACTGTGGTGATGTGTCCCAGAATTCTGCTGTGTGATGACTCTCAGCCGCCCTCTGATTCATTAGTCTTTGTCCCCAGTGCTGTTGAGTTTGTTTCTAGCGATCTGAAAGTTTATTGTTGACTTCCTTTTTCCAACTGCTTCCACTGATTTGTAACAGGTGTTTATGAATTGCTCTGATTTATCAGATAAAAGTCACACCCTACAATAAGTACGAAGTGTAAAATACTTTGAATTTGAAAAGAGAGTTGAGTACAGAGTACAGCAAAACAGCACCCGAGTTAGTGAAGATCAATATTTTCTTCCCTTACTTTGCATCTTGTTCCCAGCCACCCCAAATTTTTCTGTTACCTAATAACAAATTAACAAGGCTGTCTACATGTGGAACCACAAGAGATGCGCGAGATACTAAACCTGTATTTTGCAACAGTATTTACTGTGGAGAAGGACATGGAAGCTAGGAACTCAGGGAAATAAACAGTGATATCTTGAAAAGTGTCTGTACTACAGAACTGTGGGTGCTGGATGTCTTAAAACACAGAGGTGAATAAATCTCTGGGATCTGATTAGATTCTCCTCATGCAGAAGGTAAGGAGGCATGGGATAGGGGAAAATGTGGCAGATTGGATTCAGAATTGGCTGACCCTTAGAAGACAAAGGGCGGTAGTGGACAGAAAATATTCAACATGGTGCTCAGTTACGAGTGGTGTACCACAAGGATCTGTTCTGGGTCCTCTTCTATTTGTGATTTTTGTAAATGATTTGGATGTAGGAGTGGAAGGGTGGATTAATAAGTTCACGGGCGATAAGAAGGTGGGTTGAGTTGTGTATAGTGTGGAGGGCTGTTCCAGCTTACAAAGGGACATTGATAGGATGCAGAGTTGGCCTGAGAAGTGGCAGATGGAGTTTAACCCTGAAAAGTGTGAGGCGATTCATTTTGGAAGGACAAACTTGAAAGCAGAATACAGGGTTAACGGAAAGATTCTTGGCAGTGTGGTGGAGCAGAGGGATCTTGGGGTTCATGTCCACAGTTCCCTGAAAGCTGCCACCCAGGTGGATAGAGTTGTTAAGAAGTCGTATCGTGTGTTAGCTTTCATTAATAGAGGGATTGAGTTCAAGAGCCGTGAAGTTATGCTCCAGCTATACAAAAGCCTGGTTCGGCCACATCTGGAGTTTTGTGTCCAGTTCTGGTCACCTCATTACAGGAAAGATGTGGAAGCGTTAGTAAAGGTGCAGAGGAGATTTACCAGGATGTTGCCTGGAATGGAGGGAAGGTCTTACGAGGAAAGGTTGATAGAGCTAGGGCTTTTCTCTTTAGAACGACAAAGGATGAGAGGTGACTTGATAGAGGTGTACAAAATGATCAGAGGTATAGATAGAGTAGACAGCCAGAGACTTTTTCCTAGGGTGGAGGTAGCTTTTATGAGGGCACATAGTTTTAAAGTGAAAGGAGGTAGATGTCGGGGAGATGTCAGGGGTAGGTTCTTTACTCAGAGTGGTAGGCGTGTGGAATGCATTGCTGGAGAGGGTAGTGGAGTCGGCCTCATTGGGGCATTTAAGCGGCTATTAGATAGCCATATGGATGATAGTACAATGTAGTGGTGGAGGTTAGATAGACCTTAGGTTTAGGGTAAAAGTTCAGCGCAACATCGTGGGCAGAAGGGCCTGTACTGTGCTGTGCTGTACTGTTCTATGTTCTATGTTCTGAACCTGATTATTATCCTAGAACTTTGTGGGAAGCTAGAGAAGAGATTGTTGGGTACCTTACTGAGATATTTGCATCATTGGTAGCCACGGAAAGGAGCCAGAAGAATGGAGGCTGGCCAATACGGTCCATTATTTAAGAAAAGTGCTAAGGACAAGCCAGGGAACTATGGAATGGTGAGCCTGACACTAGAGGTGGATAGGTTGTTGGAGGGGATTAGGAGGGACAAGATTTACACACATTTGGAAAGGCGAGGACTGATTATGGATGGTCAACATGGTTTTGTGTGTGAGAAATTGTCTCTCACTAACTTGGTTGAGATTTCTGAAGAAGTGCCAAAGAAGATTGATGAGGGCAGAATGGTAGACATTGTCTATATGGACTTTAGCAAGGTGTTCCGCAAGGTCCTACATGGTAAACTTGCTAGGAAGGTTAGAGCACAAGGAACCCAGGGGAGCTAGCTAATTAGATACAAAATTGACTTGCAGGTAGGAGTTTTTTTTAAAAAAACACAGTCGTCATTCACATGATGAAGGTATCGCTGGCTAGGCCAGCATTCATTACCCATCTCTAACTAACAGTGAACCATATTGTGTCTGAAGTGACATGTAGGCAAGAACAAGTAAGAATGGCAGTGTCCTTTTCCAAAGGACATTTTTGAACCAGATGGGTTCTTCCTGACAGTTGGCAATGGATTCACGGTCATCATTGGACTCTTAATTCTGGATTTTTTATTGAATTCAAATTTCACCATTGCCACGGTGGGATTTGAACCCAGAACCTCGGTACATTACTAGGGTCTCTGGATTAACAATCCTGCAATAATACCACTAGGTCATTGTGTCCCCTATGGAGGAGAGAGAGGGGGTAATGCTAGAGGGTTGGTTTTCGCACTGGAGGCCTGTGACTAGTGGTGTGCAGCAAGATTCAGTGCTGGGTCCACTGCTTTTGTCATTTATATAAATGGTTTAGATGTGAACATTAGAGGTATGGTTAGTAAGGCTGCAAATGACACCAAATTTGGAGGTGTAGTGGACAGTGAAGGTTACCTCAGAGTATAATGGGAGCTTGATCAGACGAGCCAATGGGCCAAGGAGTGACAGATGGAGTTTAATTTAGATAAATGTGAGGTGTTGCGTTTTGATAAGTCAAATCAGGGCAGTATGTATACACTTAATGATAGGATCCCGGGGAGTGCTGCCAAACAAAGAGACCTAGCGGGTGCATAATTCCTTGAATGTGGAGTCTCGGATAGACAGGGTGATAAAGAATTGCCTTCATTGGTCAATGCATCAAGTTTCGGAGTTGGGAGGTCATGTTGCAGCTGTACAGGTCATTGGTGAGGCAACTTTTAGAATACTACATACAATTTTGGCCTCCCTCCTGTAGGAAGAATGTTGTTAAACTTGAAAAGGTTCAGAAATAATTTACAATGATATTACCGGGATTGGAATATTTGAGCTATGGGAAAGGCTGAATAGTGTGGGGCTTTCTCCCCTGCAGCATCGGAGGCTGAGGGGTAACCTTATGAAGGTTCATAAAATTATGAAGGGCATGGACAGGATGAATAGTCAAGGTCTTTTTCCCAGAGTGGAGGAGTCCAAAACTTGAGAGCATTGGTTTAAGGTGAGAGGGGAAAGATTTAAAAGGCGCCTGAGCAGTGACTTTTTCATGCAGGTATGCACTGAGCTGATAGAGGAAGTGGAGGAGGTGGATACAATTACAATGCTTAAAAGGCATCCAATGGGTACATGAATAGGAAGCATTTAGAAGTTTATGGGCCAAATGCTGGCAAATGGGACAAAATCAGTTTAGGATATCTGGTTGGCATGCATGAGTTGGTTCAAAGGTTTATTTCTATGCTGTATAACTCAATGGCTCTCATCATACTGTTGTTGGCAAGTAATAAGATTGTTGTCAATAATTGGGCATTAGTCCAAAGACCAAAGAAACATAGAAACTAGAAGCAAAAGTAGGTCATTTGGCCCTTCGAGCCCACTATTCAAAATGATTGTGGCTGTTCCTCTATCTCAATGCCATATCTCCACATTCTCCTCATACCCATGATGCCTTTAAAAATCTAAAAAAATTCTCTTTCTTCAATATATTCAGTGACTTGACCTCCACAATGTTCTGTGGCAGAGAATTCCACAGGTTCATTACCTCTTGAATAAAGAAGTTTGTCTTCATCTTAGGCTTAAGTGGTACCCTGTATGCTGAGGTCGTGTCCCTGGTTCTAGCCTTAGTAACAATGGAAAACATCCTTGTTACTTCTATTTTAATTCTATAGAATTTTGAACATATCAATCAGATCTATTCATCTTTCTTAACTCTAATGAATACAGGCTCATTTGAACCAATCTCTTCTCATAGGAAATCCTGCCATTCCCAGCAACAACAGTTTCCTCTTGCCACCTATCTGCATCTGTTCACAATCCCTCTGCTCGAAGTAGTCTGAAACCAGTTCAATTACTGCTTATTCAACTACAATGCTTGCCACAGCTGTCAGGTTACTTGCTTTCAAACCATGCAGCTATTTTTCCAAAGAACAGGTTTTAAAACAGCTTGCTTTTTCTCATTTCCAGCCACAGCTAAAATAAAGAATTAAAAGGACACAGCCTGTACAAGATATACAAATGAACTGTTAAGGAACATACCTCATGTTCCAGGAACAATGCCTTCAGCTGACCTCTTGACCAATAATCGAGTGCATAGGCCAGGAGTTTCATTGAAAGTGTATTGACTCGCAGGAAGTTGCCAACAAAAACAACTCTATTTATCTTCTGTAAACGACAAAAATATGGAATAGTGAAACAATGGTTTGGTTTAACAGAAAATAAAAACTATGGAGACCACTGGCTTCTTTGCTGTAGACCTCTATGATCTCAGGAAATCAAGAAGAGCTGATGAATGAAGCAAAATGGTCACTTTTTGCAAGGTAGCTCTTTACCATCTCACTATCAACATTTTATGTTTTTGTGTTTCTCATGCACAAACATATGAAATAGGTGCACACCCTCAAGGCTCCTCTACCACTGTCATGGCTGATCTGTTTGTTTTGAATTCCACATTTTCAGCCACCTCCTGATAACCCTCGAATCACCTGCCTAAAAAGGAATCTATTTATCTGTCTTTTAAATATATTCAACAACCTCACCTTAGCTGCTTCTGTAACAGAGTTTCAGAATCTTACAACCCTCAGAAAAATAATTCTCACCTTTGTCCTGAAGTTCAACACCAAATTTTAAAAATCTCCCTTGGACTGACAGATAAGAGTACCTTTGAACCAACTTGTCCATTCTTTCTACTTTCACCTTGTCAAGACCATTCAGGATCTTATATCAATTTTAAAAAATTCTGTTTGGGGCCTGGGTGTCGCTGGCTATTTGACCAGAATTTATTGCCCATCCCTGGTTTCCCCTGAGAACATGGTTGAACTCCCTTCTTTAACCTCAGCAGTACACATTGCTGTTTTGGAGGGAGTTCAATCGATCAGGTCACTCCAAAATTCTAGTGGAAACAAACCAGCCATAGAATCATAGAATCCCTGCAGTGTGGAGACAAACCATTTGGCCCAACAAGTCCACACCAACTCTCTGAAGAGTCCCACCTAGACTCGCCCTCCTACCCTATTCCTGTAACCCTGTATTTCCCATGGTTAAACCACCTAACCTACACGTCCCTGGACACTACGGGCAATTTAGCATGGCCAATCCACTTAACCTGCACATCTTCGGACGGTGGGAGCAAACCGGAGCACCCAGTGGAAACCCATGCAGGCTCAGGGAGAATGTGCAAACTCCACACAGTTCCTTCACCTGAAAAGGAGCAGCACCCTAAAGTTTGTGATTTCAAATAAACCTGTTGGACTCAACCTGGTGTTGTGAGACTTCTGACATAACAGGCAAATTACTCTATCCATAGTAGAAAATATTTCTAATTGGAAATGTTCAAAACTATATTTCAATATTTTCATCTGCAGGAGCTCATGAAATCACTGAGCTATAAGCAAACAGAGCAAGTGAAACAAAATTAGATCAATCTGATAATGTTTCACTATTTTTGGTTAAAATTTGAATCAGACCTAAGAACACCAGGTAAACTCACCACTTCAAAGTACACAAAGTTCACCCAATGTGATAGTGCTGAAAACCAGATGAAATACAATGACTGAGAATCAATTATTGCAAAGTTTAAGCAATAACAAAGGTGGATTCTATTTCATAATTCAAAGATTAAAGGATTGTGTTGAGAGATTTGGACAAGCACAATTTTTGACAATTCCACTGTTTGATACAGAAGCTGAAACTCTTTGGCTATAACACCTGCTATTCGGAATTAACATTACACCAGCAAATTGCACTAAATGTTTGTTTAGCTGGAGGAAATTTTGCAAAGTTGAACTGTGTTCCAAGTAATGAACAACATTCTTTATTACTGTTTCTTGGAATTTAGGTGATGCTCATATGGCAACATAAGCAAACACTTTCCAAATTAACTCAAAGTGTTGCATTTTTTACTTGCCTGATGATTTCAGTATTGAATAAGTCATCATCCGCACTACGCTCAACTTAATCAAAACATAACTTCAGGGAGTATAGCAGCAATTTAAAACAAAAATGTACTGAAGTAGCAAACAGCCTTTCCACTTCTTGTAAATATAACTATATACAGGAGTGTATATTTCACATATATATTTTAACCATTTTATTTTAAAGTGAAGACGTGGGTAATTTGGTTGAAGAGAAAGCAAAGATAGTAAAAGACAAGGAACAGAATATTTAAAATTTATGCATGATGCAAAGTCCCTGAGCTTTCATAGCCCTGTACAATGCTGCTTGATCTTCACTTCACAAGGCAGCACTATAAAGAAGCCAAAAGTACAGAGAATCAAGATCTTTTTACTGGAGAGTGGAGGAAAAATAAACAAAAACATTCTTCTGCAATGCTTCTACAGCTCCAGATATGAGGTTTTTTTCCAATGGAAAATTGCCAGCTTAGCATTGTCACCCATGGTTTTGTACGTGAGCCTCATTTCAGGTTTTGAACACTTAGTCTAGTCTGCCATCCCAATGCAACAAATGAAGAAAAAAATAGACTTTATGTAGCAACCTTAATGATTTCAGCACATTCCCAAGTGTTTTGCCACCAATGAAATATTTTTTGAGGTAGTCACTAATTTATTGTAGGTAAAACAGCAAATAGCAAGTTCCCAAAACAGCAATATGAAAATGACGAGGTAATCAGCTTTTGTGATATTAATTGATGAATAAATATTAATCAAGATATCGAAGATAACAAGTAGACCTCTGCTTTAAACTTGTGTCTTGGGATCTTTTATATCATCAAGGCCAATTGCCTTATATGGCAACTTCTTCAACAACACAGAATTCCTTCAGTACTGCACTGGAGTCAACTCACATTTTTATATTCAAATTCTGCAGTGGAGCTTCAAAGCACAAACGCTGACACTATGGCAACAGTGCTACCAACAGAGTAGGACGTTTTGCTAATTAACTACCAAATATCAGATCAAACGCTGACATTTTCTCCTCAATCACCGACTCTCAAAAAAAGGTAGATTAACAAGTCATTCATCTCTGGAGCTCATAGGACTCTCAAATGTGTAAAGTTGTTTGTTGCTTTCATCGACACAATAACTGAGTTAATTTTCAAAATTTCACATTGACAAATACCTTGACAAATGTAATAGCAAGCTACAGAAACAAATTTATTATTAGGGAAGATGACACCAATAATACACTAAATGTTCAAATAGCATTTTTTGCTCACATGTACTATTTTTTTTCCCCAATATTACTATACTTGCACTCATAAGATGAGACTTTTATTTCATAAAAGCTGTACCTATTCAACTATTTTAACTTCTTTTTAATTTGGTTCCAATGTTAAAATGTAGGTAAACACACAATACCGTCAGGGAAGGAATTCCAGGATTTTCACCCAGCAGCACTTAGAGGGACAGTGACATATTTCCACGTCAGGATTACGTGTAGCTTGGAGGGGAACTTGCAGGTTGTGGTATTCCCATGCATATACTGCCCTTGTAATGAATCATAGAATCCCTACAGTATGGAAACTTTGGCCCAACAAGTCCACACCGAACCTCAGAATCCCACGCAGACCCATCCCCCTATAACCCACCTAATCTACACTATGGGCAATTTAGCATGGCCAACCCACCTAGTCTGCACATCTTTGGGCTGTGGGAGGAAACTGAAGCACCCAGAGGAAACCCATGCAGACACAGGCAGAATGTGCAAACTCTACACAGACAGCGGCCGAGGCTGGAATCGAACCCAGGTCCCTAGTGCTGAGGCAGCAATGCTAACCACTGAGCAACCATGCCTTCATCCTCCTAAAAGCATGAATTATTCAACATGCAATTAATATCTATTGGGCTTCGATTTTGTTTCTGCGGACACTCAGTTGTATCACTGAAAGGGATTTGTTGCCATTTATTGCCATTCCTAATTTCTTTGGAGGTGATGATGGTGAACTGCCTTTTTGAACCACTAATTCTTGGGGTGTAGGAACACTCACAGTACCATTAAGGATTGAGTTCCATATTTTAGATCTAGTAACAGTGAAATCTAAGTCAGGATAGTGTGCAGTTTGGCAGGCTTGCAGGTAGTTGTGTTCCCTTGCATTGGTTGCCTTTGCCATTCCAGGTGGTGGAGGTCACAACTTTGGAAGGTGCTGAAGAGGCCTCGGTGAGTTGCCACACTGCATCTTGTAGATGGTATACATGGCTGTTACTGTGGAGGGAGCAAACGTTCAAGTCAGATGAGATGCAAATCAGTGGGTTCTTTTTACCTTGTACTTCTTAATATTGTTAGAATTGTGATCACCTTGGCAAATGCAAAGTACTTCCATTATACTTTATAGATGGCGGACAGGGTTTAGCAAGTTAGGAGGTGCGTTGCTCATGACTCAGTGCATAGCTTTTAACCTGTTCTTGAAGCCACAATATTTAATGGATAGTCTGGTCAACAGTAACCCCTAGAACACTGATGGAAATGGGAATAATTCGGCAATGGTACTTCAAGAATTGATGATTAGATTTTTCCTTGTTAGAGTCGGTCATTGCCTGGCATTTATGTGGCACAACCGTTGCTTGCCATTTATCAACCCAAACCTGAGGTCTTTCTGCCCACAGATGTGGCATGGACTGCTTCAGTAGCTGAGGAGTTGTGAATTGTCTTGAATGCTGACTGCACAGGCATTCCACAGTATACAGTCCAGTAAAAGTCAATCATCATCTGAAAAATAATTAACAATGGACTGAATTGCTATACCTCATTCACTGCACACATACGGGCAATGGATCCTATGTTGTTTGTGATGGTGACCAATGTAGCCCTTGCGAGGTCTTCTTTGCTGACTGAATCTCGCTTCTCCCTGCAAATCATGTTGCCAAAGCTACAAGGGAAATAGAATGAAAAATTAGCTTGTGAAAAACCACTAGTTTTTAATCTATAAGCACATATCAGGTTAATATTAGATAAGAAGAACAAGGTTTTCACCTCTTTCCCTCTTTTCCCATTCTCTACATGAACTGTAAAGCCATTGGAGACATCCAGACACGTGGAAAGCTAAAAAAAAAATCAAATTAATCCCATCCTAACTAAGGAAATTAGCCACTTTATTTCAGGGTCTCCTGTGCCTAAAATTAGGTTCCTTGGTGTTGCACATTTCTGCAAGTTTTGGACACATTACAGTAGCTTTGCTTATGAACACCATCATGCACCTTTCAATTCTAAGTCCAGCCAAGTCACATTATTTGTGTGTTATTTGGTGGATTGTTTGTGGCAAGACACATTCACTTATTTTGGTGAACAGTCTAGTCCAGTGAATTTCAATTTGCGAGGTGGTTTGAGATTCTTGCTTGGAGAATACTGCTCTTGTTTAGTGGAAACCACTGTTTTGAGGGAAGCCAAACTTTGGCAGCTCCAGTGTCAGGTCACTCTCACTTTCTGTAGCTCTTTGACTGCTTTGAGTGATGTATGCTTAAACAAAAAGGACAAAAGGAGTAGCCTCAGATGATTACCCAAGTAATCATCATCACATATGGAAGCCTCAAAAAACAAAACAAAAATAGGAGTATTTATGTCCTATTGTGATGGCCAGGGAGACTAAATTAGCTCAATTCTGTCCTTACCCAATTGTCACGCACAGTCAGAGATTGCTGGAAATAATAACCAATATTTCCCACTCTTTTTCTGTTCTGCTTAGTCTGTTTGTTGCACTCTGCAGATTGCTACGCAGCCATGATGTTAGCAGGAACATTGAACGGATGTAGAGGTGATCAAGCTAACCATTGGACCTTCACACTTGCTCAGTTGAATTACTGCACAGAGGTAGAGATGTACAGCAAGGAAACAGGTTCAACTTGTCTATGCCAACCAAATATCTTAGATCTAGTCCCATTAGCCAGCATTTGGCCCATATCCCTCCAAAACCTTCCTATTCATATACCCTTCTAGATGCCTTTTAAATGTTGTAATTGTACGAGCCTCCACCACTTCCTCTGCCAGGCCATTCCATACACGCACCACCCTCTTTTCTGAACCGTTTTAAGTTTCACAACATCTTTCCTATAGCAGGGAGAGTATTGCAAAAGTGGACTAACCATTGTCCTGTACAGCAGCAACATGACCTCCCAGCTCCTAATCTCAAATGTACTGACCAATAAAGGCAAGCATACCAAATGCCTTCTTCACTATCCTATTTACCTGAGACTCCACTTTCAAGGAACTATGAACCTGCACTCCAAGTTCTTTGTTCAGCAACACTCCCCAGGACCTTCCCAGTAAGTGTATAAATCCTGCCCTGATCTGCTTTTCCAAAATGCAGCACCTCACATTTATCTAAATTAAATTCCATCCGGCCCTCCTCAGCCCATCTGATCAAGATCCTGTTGTACTCTGAGTTAACCTTCTTCTCTGTCCACTACACCCCCAATTTTGGTGTCATCTGCAAATTTACTAACCATAGCTCCTTTGTTCACATCCAAATCGTTTATATAAATGGCAAAAAGCAGAGGACCCAGCATTGATCCTCTTGGCATACCACTAGTCACAGGCCTCTAGTATGAAAAGCAACCCTCCATCTTCTACCTTCAAACCAGTTCTGTATCCAAATGGCTAGTTCTCCCTGTATTCTGTGTGATCTAACCTTGCCAACCAGTCTACCATGAGGAATGCCTTACTGAAGACCATGTAGATCACGTCCACCACGCGGCTCTCATCAATCCTCTTCGTTACTTCTTCTAAAAAACTCAATCAAGTTAGTGAGACACGATTTCTTATATATAAAGCCATGTTGACTATCCCTAATCAGTCTATGCCTTTCTAAATACATGTAAATCCTGTCTCTCAGGATTCCCTCCAACAACTTGCCCATCACTGATGTTAGACTCAGAGGTCTATAGTTCCCTGGATTTTCATTACCACCTTTCTTAAATAGTGGCACCATGTTAGCCAACCTCCAGTCTTCCAGCACCTCACCTGTGGCTATCGAGAATACAAATATCTCAGCAAGGGGCCCAATCACTTCCCTAGCTTCCCACAGATTTCTAGGGTACACCTGATCAGGTCCGAGGGATTTATCCACCTTTATGCATTTTAAGCTGTCCAGCACATCCTCCTCTGTTATATGGACATTTTTCAAGATATTTCTATCTATTTCCCCACATTCTACATATTCTATATCCTTCTCCACAGTAAACACTGATGCAAAATACTCATTTAGTATCTCCCCCATCTTCTGCAGTTCCACACATAGGCAGCCCTGCTGATCTTTAAGGAGCCCTACTCTCTCCCTTGTTACCCTTTTGTCCTTAATGTATTCATAAAATCCCTTTGGATTCTCCTTAACCCTATTTACCAAGGATATCTCATACCCCCTTTTTGCCTCCTGATTTCCCTCTTGAGTGTACTCCTACTGCCTTTATACTCTAAGGATTCACTTGATCTCTGCTGTATATACCTGACATTTCTTTTCTTTTTCTTGACCAAAACCTCAACTATTCTAGTCATCCAGCATTCCCTACACCTACCAGCCTTGCTCTTCATCTTCACAGGAACATACTGTCCCTGGACTCTGGTTATCTAATTTTTGAAGGCATCCCCTTTTCCAGCCATCCCTTTACCTGCAACCATCCGTGCCCAATCAAATTTTGAAAGCTCGTGCCTAATACCTTCAAAATTGGCCTTCCTTCAATTTAGAACTTTAATTTTCAGATCCGGTTTATCCTTCTCCATCACTATTTTAAAACAAATAGAATTATGGTCACTGCCCCCAGAGTGCTCCTCCACTGACACCTCAGTCACCTGCCCTGCCTTACTTCCCAAGAGGAGGTCAGATTTTGTACTCTCTAGTAGGTAGACCCACATATTGATTCAGAAGATTTTCTCGTCCTTTAACACTCTGGCAGACAACAATTTTCCTGCTCTGTACATCTCAGCTACACAATGTGTAAACTTGATTTGATATCGGGGAAGCCTTTTCTGGTTTTACAACATTTGAAGTTACGGCCAAGTAAATCCATGTAACCTAAAACTGCAATCATTAAAAATTAAAAACAGGATTTGTTCTTCCTTATTTCAGAAAAGGTACAATTAAGCAAGCTCTATTATTAGTACCACCCTGGATCTTGTATATCTGTGGCCATTATTTGCTTATTGCTCATGGCAACAATCACAGTTTGTGACTAACAATGCAATATTCTTTAATCTAATAATAAAGTGTTCATAGCTTAACTACTATTTGATTTTTTAAACTTTCATTAAAAGCCAACTTAACAAAAAAATGACTTATTGCATCTGCCATAGCTGGCCTTGTGTTCTCCCCTGCAACACATACAAAAACAATGAAGAATTTTCAAGCACTTAGTTATGGCCATGATCTTTAATAGTTTTCAACTGATATCGAAACTTTCCTCGAAAATAAGTTGCAGTGCACAAAAATAAACACAGAAGGTTCTAACAATAGACAATAGGTCCGTCAACATGTCACCTTGTCTTTGCTGTTTGCTCAGGTGGGATCCACTATCAGATGTCTGTCATCTGTCCTATCTAACATGTATCTCCTGTACATTTACAGTATAGTCTTTTTTATATTATTAAAATCATTCAAGATATGAAAAGGTCAAAGTAACTTACATATATGATTATTAAAATATAGGTAGAGTACAGAACGACACTTGCACAAAAAAAACTGAATTTCTTTTCATTTGTTCACAGGATGACAGCATTGCTGGCTAGGCCAGCATTTATTGACTAGTCCTAATTGCCTGGAGGGCAGTTTAAGAGTCAAACACATTGGTCGTGGGTTTGTTTGGATATGTAGTCCAAACCAGTTTCCTTCCCTAAAGGACGTTAGTGAACCAGATTGTTTTTTCTTAACAATTGACAATGGATTCACAGTGATTATTAGACACTTAATTCCAGATTTATATTGAATTCAGATTCCACTATCTGCCATGATTTGAACCTAGGTTTCCAGGATATTACCAGAATCTCCTGATTAATAGTCTTGTGATAATACCACTAGGCCATCACCTCCCCGAAGTGTATGTAGTGTATGTCATTGTGGAAGTACTGCAATGTTGTGTAAATAATTAGAAATATTTAATTCTGAGTGATTAAACATCTAAAGGGATGTTTATTGCAATAAATCATTTGACCCAATTATTATTTGTACCTACCTGGATGCAACTGCCCAACCTGGCAAACCAAAGCGTTCATAATCTCCCCCATAGATGTCCCTTACTAGTTTGTCAGCCATGGTGCTGTCACCCTTAGATGCCATTTCAAGGGCTTCATCAAAAGTCTCACAACCTGTAAGTAAACAACAGAGGCCCAGGAAGGTTCCACCTCCTAAACTAAAAGCAAACAAAAATGTCAGATAATAATGGCATTTTAAGTTAGTAATTAGAACATTTCAAAGTGACTGTATTATTTGTTTGCTTATTAATAGTGTTCTTACAACTTTCATTTAGATTTGACATTTGCCAAATCACACTGATTTTTACACGTCCCATTTGCTTTGCCTATTTTGTGGATGAAGGCTTTCCATGGCAATGTCACTCTGCAGGTATTGGTATGAGACCAGAATCTGCCTATGCTAAAGAGATTAAATTATTTTTATGGTTTTAAGTGGTTGTTCACAAAGGCAAAGCTGAACTTGATGCAATCAAATGTGCACCGCTCCTTTCACTGGTACTTAAGTACAGGCTAAATTTTTTTCTTTAACAAAGGCTCAAAGTGATAGACTATTGTTTCTATTAAAATACTAGAAAATGGAATATAGAAAATGCCTGGGCAACCAAGGAATGCAAGGACTTGCTTACTTTTCAACTTTTCTGTATTTTTTCAGATACATTAGGGACATTTAAGTGACTCTTGGATGGGCACATGGATGATAGTAAAATGTAGGGTATGGAGGGTAGTTTGATCTTAGAGTAGGATAATAGGGCCAAACATCGTGGGCCAAAGGGCCTGTGCTGTGCTGTACTGTTCTATGTTCTACGCTGAATGCATAACTGCAACTGTTGTGGTGCTAAAGCAACAAGAAACTTCCACTTTAAGGTGGTCACAATGATATCAACCAAAAGCTGAAAAAAGGAGTTAGAAGCATTGTTCTCATTTATAATCAGAAAGATGGGGACTGACAATAGATAGGAAATTGAAGCAGGAGGGGAGATAGGGGAAATAGCAGTCACAGTGCAGAATTGCTATGAGCAGTGTCACAGGGATTGCAATGATGATTACTTACTCACACTTGTGAAAATCATACTATACACAAACTTTGGACTCGCTTCACAGAGGGATCATGGCCAGAGTAAACCATAATTCTAAAGATCTACAATGATTTAGGACTGCAAACTTTACCTATTATTTCACATAGCAATTTATAGAAATAAAATCATCAGTTAGCGCAATTCTTAAACATTTTACCTGGTTCCAGTTACTCTCTTATACTGGTCCTTTGAATATACAGCTAATATGCTAACTCCTGACCCAATGTTCACCACAAGCAAAGGGTAGGGGTCATCAAGGTTGAAAGGCATCTTCTGGCACTTCTCAGGGTCTGAGGCATTCTCAAAATAATAACATTCTGCTTGACCATTAAAACTGAGAGAGTCAATGTGCAAGAGGCCATTGACCAGGCAGTCCAATTCATCCAGTTTATGTAACTGCAGATTGCCAATCTGAAATAAACAAAGTCTGTTAGTGTATCTGGAAGGTTAGTATAATGTTCGTGCGTGATATATTTGAAGAAAAACTATATTAGTTTTCAACATTACTTCCAGAGTAAGAAACTGCTCATGGCTTATCAAATCTAAAAGATTTTCTGCAAGATGCAGTAGAATACGGTAAATTACTCCTGTTTAATTCTGTCAAATCTCAACTGCAACATACTATGCTGATAGGGAAACAGTAAGGCACAATGTTCATTCCAATAAATTAAATGTTAATGAGCACAACTAAAGAAAGATGAGAGAAGATTCTAGCAACATCTGGTTCCTTAGGAAATGAAATGTTTTAAAAACATTGCACACCTCAGCACCAATGATAATAATATTGCCAGAAACACTGGAAGACATGTAAAAATAGGAAAGATGACTAAAGTCATAAAATGACTTTTGCCCAGTTTATTTTTTCTTTCAAGGAACGTGGCTACATAGGTCAGTATTCATTGTCCACCCCAACTTGCCACTGAAGTAACGATGAGGTGCCTTCTTGAACTGCAGCAGTCCATGTGGTGTAGATGCATTCACAATGCCATTAGGAAGTCAGCTCCAGGATTTTGACCCAGTGACACTAAAGGAACAGTGATATAGTTCCAAGAAACAATGGAGTGTGGCAAGAAGGGAAACTTACAGGGGATGGTGTTCCCATGGATCTGCTGCCTTTAAATTTCTATATGGTGGAAGTTGTGGGCTTGCAAGGTGCTACTGAAGAAGTCAGCATAAGTTGCTGCACTGCATCTTGTGGGTGATATACATATCTGTTGCTAGCACATTGCTGGTGGATCATGTACTGATCACATAGACTGCTTTGTCCTGCATAGCATTCAGCTTTGAGTGTTATTAATGTTGTACTCACTAAGGCAAACGGAGTTTTTGATTTGACCACAGACTTTGTAGAGACAAGAGGTGCTGACTCTTCATTACTGCAGAATTCCGAAGTCTCCAGCCTCCTCATGTACTGGAAACATTTAAATGGATGGTCCAATTTGTTCAGTCATTCATGGTTCTGTTATTCATTCATAGGATATGGGTAGTGCTAAATGGGCCAGCATTTACTATCCATCCCTAATTGCCCAGAGGGCATTTAAGATAATCAATTAATGTGAGAGTAATGAACATGCCTTTGCTGACAACCACAGCATCTTATTGATTGCTAGACAGATACATTTTGAATCTTTCACATTTAGCACAGTGATTACGCAATACCAAATGATAGACAGTAACTGGAGTCTGAAGATGGCGTTGGTTTCCTTAAGCACTGTGTGGTTGTCACTCTTACCATTTTTCACATACAGATGCATAGATTTGAGGAAACACAGTAAGATATTCCCTCACCACTTGTTGCAGACCTACCTGGCAGTTATGTCCAAGATCTAGCAACACTGCTGACTGAATAGGCCAACAACCCACTCAAACATGGCTGGTGAAGTCTCCCATCCAGATTCTATTCAGGGCCTTTGCTATCAAATCCTACTTCAAAGTTGTGTCAATAAGGTGTTATTGATTCACCAGTTGAGGAAGGGCAACAAATGGTCATCAGTAGGATGTTCCCTTGTCTATTTTTAGCTTGATATTCTGAGACCTTATAGGAGGAGGGTCAATTTTGAGAACATCCAGCAACACATCCAGGTAACTGTATAGCACAGCGCCATCTGGTCTGGTGGGTCTATTCTACCAGGACAGGTCAGTGATGGCGAATTTGCAACTTTGTCTCAAAGATAGGATCCTGAAAGCCATGACCATTTCAGTCTTTTACTTGGTTAGTCTGTAGGGCAGTTCTCCCAATTTTGACACAAGTCCCCAAATGTTAGTGCAAAAGACTTTTAAAGAGTCAGCTGGGTAGATTGGATCCTAATTGCATCCAGTGTCTGAGTGGTCAAATTTTCTTATTAAAAGTTTTCATAGCCATAATCAGAGGAAGTCAAAATGTCTGCAGTTACATACAGGCAAGGCCAGGTAGAGGTGGCAGATATTCTTCTCCCCAGAAGGGAAAACTTCATTTTCATTATCACCATTACCGAGGTGTTTTATTCCAAAGATAATTACCTGAATTTAAATTCTCCACCTGCTGTGAGGTATTTGAACTACTGACTCCCAAATAATGAGAGGTAGATAGAAGTACATGTATGTAGAAAAATTGCTGCTTGTAGGACTAAGAGGGCAATAATAGCAGGAAACTTTAACTATCCCAATATCAACTGGGTTTCAAACAATATAAAAGGACATTGAGGGCGAAAAATTCATGTACTTGTCCAGGGATTATTTTTTAAAAACAAGATGCAATAAGCCCAAAGAGAGAGGACAAAATTCTGGATTTCGTTGAAAATAGGCAAGTGGGTGAAGTGACAGTGTCAACCATATTGGAGATAGTGACCACAATTCGGTTAGATTCAATATTGATATGGAAAAGGACAACAATAAACATGAACAAATTTTTTTTTTAAACTGGGAAGGTAAATTTTACAAATCTGAAAGTGATTTGACAGAGGCGGACTAGACAGGACTACTGCTATGATGCTGTCACTTCAAAAAAGGTTATTTTGTCCTGGGTACTTTTTTTGAAGAGAGTTTGCAAAGGCAGAGGCACTGAAGTGTCTAGGCTAAGAGACCTTCAGGTTTTTTTAGAAACAGTTTAACAATAGAAGGGGAGTGGCCAGTTCTCCCAGAACAAGTTTTCTAGTTTTTTTAAAACTGTAGCAGTCACAAGACGTTTGGGTCCCAAGGGGGTTATGAGCTTCAGTAAATGATTCCTAACCAACTTTTCCGAAATCTATCTGGATGTTGTTTCCTCCCAGATTAGAAACCTGCCTGTAAGTATCAGTACTTTAATTTACCTATTTGCCAAGGGGAATGTTTACAGGATGTTACTACATTGGAACAGTTAGTTAGTAATAGTTACTGTATCTAGAATTTGGTTAAGTTTTCCAATAGTTAAGTTATTCTAAATTCCTCTTGCTTCTGTTTGTGTTTTAAACGAAATGTTTAAATAAATTACATTTCACTTAACTCTGAGTGGTTTGACTAGCTCCATCACGTCTGGAATACTCACTTCACATCTACCCTTTAAAATGAAAGTTAGGGACTCAGCTACCTTCTTAAAATATTTTGAGGGGGTCTGGCTGGTCCATAACATTGCTAAAGGATAAATCAATGGAAGGCACTAAAAAGTGAGATCCCGAGGACACAAAGCAGACATGTCCCCTCCAAAAATAAGAATGGTACTGCCAAATCTAGACCCCCCATGGATGTCTAGAAAAATACAGGGAAGATTAAACAGAAAAAGAAAGCTTAGGATAGTCACACAAAAAACTCACCACTGCAGATAACCTAGAGAAATATAGAAAATTACAGGGATCAAGTAAAAATGAAATAAGGAAATCAAGGAGAGGGCATGAAATAATTTGGCAAGCAAGATAAGTGAAATCTGACGATGTGTATCCAGAGTAAAAGGATAGTTGAGGAAAAAGTGGGACCTTTTGGAGACGAAGAAGGGAACTTGCAGAGCTTATGGGAAGAATTTTAAATCTAATTTTGTCTCTATTCACAAAATTAAGAGACGATGTAGATATTGTAATCCAAGAGGAGCAGTGTGAAATATTGGATGAAATAATCATAACGGGGGAGTAGTGTTAGAGGAGTTGGAATCCTCGAAAATGGATGTCACTAGGGCTACATGGATGGATTGTTCCCTAGTATGTTAAAGGAGGTCAGGGAGAAAACAGCAGATGCTCTAAGAATTATTTTCCAATCTTCACTGAACACAGATGAGGTGCTGGAGGACTGGAGGAATGCAAACGTGGTTCCGTTGTTTAAACAGGATATAAAAGAAATGCCAAACAAGTTTAGGCCAGTTGATCTTACTTCAGAGGTGGGCATATTATTAGAATCAATCCTGAGAAATCAGATAAACTGTCACTTAGAAAGGCACGGACTGGTTAGGAATGGTCAGCATGGCTTTGTTTAGGGATGGTCACGTCTTACAAATTTGAATTCTTTCAGGAAGTGACAAGGAGGATCCATGAGAGCAGAGAAGTGGATGTTGTCCACATGGATTCTAGTGAGGCATTTGAAAAGGCCACACGTGGTAAACTGGTCAAAGTAGTAAAAGCCTATGGGATAAAGGGCAATGTGTCAATTTGGATCCAAAGTTGGCTTAGCAACAGAATCAAAGGGTAATGGTCAATGGCTGTCCTTGCAAATGGAAAGCTATTTCACGTGGTGATCTGCATGGTTTGGTGTTGGGACCCCTACTATTTATTTTATACATTTAACGGTTTGGTCTTGAATGTAGGGGACACAACTGGGAAATTTGCAGATGGCAAAAAAATTGGCTGTGTAGTTGGTACTGTAGAGGATAGCTATAAGCTTCAAAAATGATAGAGATGGGTTGGTGAAGTGGGCAGGAAAGTGTCAGATAGAGTTCGACTCTGGTAAGATAATGCATTTAGGAAGGTCAAGCAGTAAAAGGGAATGCACATTAAACAGAAATATACTGACAGGGGTAGGTGAAGTGAGATATCATGATGTGTAAGTGCACAGGTCCCTAATGGTAGCAGTACAGGTAGGTAAGGTTATAAAGAAAGCATATAGAACACTATCCTTCATTGGTAGAGGTACAGAACAGAAAAGTAGGGACATAATGATGAGATTGTATGAGATACTGGTGGGCCACAACTGGAGTATTGTGTGCAGTTCCTGACACTACATTACAGGAAGGACATAACTGCTCAGGAGAGAGTGCAGGGAAGATTTACTAAAATGTTGCCAGGGCTGGAGAATTGTAGCTACAAGGAGAGATTGGAGAGATTGGTGTTGTTTTCCTTGGAACAGTGAAGGTTGAGGGGTGGCATGATTGAGGTTGTGATAGGTATACATGGAGTAGACAGGAAGAATTTGTTTCTCTAGGCAGACAGTTTAAAACCAGGGATCATAGATTTGGGCAGGAGGATTCGAGGGGATGTGAAGAAAAACTTTTTTTATGCGGAGGATGGGGATGTCTGAAATTCGCTGCTTGAGTAGGTGGTGGAGGCAGAGATCAGTGGCAGAGACTAAAAGTACCTAGATCTGCACCTTAAGTGCTGTACGCTACAGGGCAATGGGGCCACGTGTAGGATTAGAAAGGGCATCTATGTGACTTTGGGCTGGCATGGATAAGATGGACCAAATGGCCACCTTTTATGCTGTATCATTTCTACGATTCTATGTTTCTCATTCATTGGTCTAGATCTCTGAACAACTGGATGAGTAACATAATCACTATGATAATGTGGCCAATTAGATTAGTGCAAACTATTACAATTACCTAAAGTGTACCATTCCAAATTATTTCACTTCTAAACGAAAGTAACTCATGTTTCAAATCTGAACAGCATAAAATCAGTCTCCATTTGTGACATAAAAGATTCTCCCCTCAAACTGTAAACCAAACAATGATCCTTTCTATTGTCAGAATTATTGGACACAGCGCACAGTATAATCCCACATTATATACACTACAAATGACAACGTACAGATTACGGCTATTTGCAAACCATCATGACGACATGGTGATCCATTGTTAACAACAATTGTTGAGGTCAGGGGCCAAAACTTAAAATGCTGGTCAAATGGAGCAAATATGATTTGTATCAATAATTGTTAAGGTGGGTGATGTCCTGATTGGCTTGTACAATGTATGGAGAAGTGTGCCAAAGAGAGTGAGGGGGAGAACTGATATTCTATGGTGTTGTAGCATTGATCAACTTAACCTCTTTTTGAGGTACTCCCTGACAGGCCTATGGGATAGGCAAACTTACCTTTGCAAATAGTCCCATAGTTTTGAGGCTCAAACTTCAGAAGCCGCCATACTTCTTTTGTGAATAATACACTTTATACCAGTGCATGGCTAAATCCACTCCCATTCTCCAAATATCTTTTTCTTTTCTCTCAAAACTGGGACATAGATAATAGTAACCAGGGACAAGATGTTTATTTCTATCCTTAATCCCAGTGATAAAAATCTTTTAGTGAAACCATTCTCATCTGCAACAATATTGGGCACCTTTATCAACAGCATGTTCTCACCATTCGAAATTCTTCTTCAAATTTATAAGCACCCCCTCCAGTGGCACAGAGCACTGTATGTAGTGTTGAAAAATTCTTATCTCTGCCCATTTGAATGAAGGTAGGTAGGTCATGTGTAGGAAATCGAATAAAGTGCAGGTTTCCTTTGCGGCCACAAAGCGTCAAGTCTTTGAGCTCAAGATGCACATCTCGGATGCCCGTAGATCCATAGGCAACATTTGACAGCAAGTACTTACGAATACTTTTTAGGCTTTCTACCTCTTCCTCCTCCTCTTCAACTGTAATATCAATTGGCTCAAAATAAACTAGTTTCACTAGCGTTCCACCAATATCCATTCCAAACCAAGGGAATGCTGCAAAGAGAGTGCAATATATATAACATTTCAGATTTGAAAATCAAAAGATCCCAGAAAATAAAATTCATATGTATAAGTCTAGTGAGAAATTATTAAAGATAAAGAGGAACTGCGTTTAGCATATTAAATCAGCCCATTGAGAGGTTTGAGTGAGGGCGTTACACAAACTACACCATTAAAATGTTGTTCAATTTGATCCATATCAATGGAAATTTTTCAGTTGCTCTTAAGCCTGGCATCCCTGTAAAACCTCACCAATGAGCATATGATAAAGAACTGAAAGGTTTATGTTCTCTATGTTAACACTTCAGTTACTTAAAATTCACTCAAGACAATGGGCTAAGTTCTGGAAAATGAGATTAGAACTTTTTTTTCTAATAAACGTGTTCAGGGATGTTATTACGCACCCCTGGAGTAGGTGGGACCTGAACCCAGGCCTCATAGCTCAGAGGTAGGGACACTACCACATTGACACAAAAGCCCCTACATGGATTAGTTATGTAGTTGCTTTGGACATGTATGGACCAATGGGCCAAAGAACCTTTTTCCATGCTGTAGATCTCTATGACTCGTTCAGCCTCAACTACAGTACTGCATCCAATTCTGAATTCACATTTCAAGAAGTATGTGAAGCCTTTACAGATGGTGCAGAAAAGACTCGAGAGAATAATCCAAGGGATGAGGGACCTCAATTACATAGTTGGATTGAAGGATCTGCGCTTATTCTTTTTTTGGAGGCCTGGTTTATGGCAGATAATAAGTTTTCAGAATCACAAAGGGGTCCAAATATACTAGACAAAAAGAGAAACCAAGTGTTCTAGTGGGAACAGTTGAACATGTGCTGTGAAGAACTGGCATGAACTTGGTGAACCAAGTTTCACCATCTGTACTTTAATTTATAGTTCCTATTTCTAAACCATAGGGGTTTCTGGATGCTTAGTTTTTTTAGGACTGAGAACAAAATTTACAGATGTTAATGAAATAGAAGGACATGTGGTAAAGTGGGAAAGTGGAGCTTATGTAGATCAAGCATGGCCTTACTGAATTGTGGAGCAAACCTAAAAGGATAGTATGGACAACCACCTGCTCCCATTTCCAAATAAACATAAAAGGTTAGTGCACATGCGCAACAAGTAATTATTTTGATCTTTATTGGCAGGAGTTTGGGGTTTAAAATAGGGAAGCCATATTACAATTATGTTGATGAGGTAGCACCTGGAGTACTATATACAGTTTTGATTCCTGTATTTAAGAAAAGATATACTGGCTTTGTGAGCAGTTCAAAAGAGATTCACTCGGCTGATTACTGAGATGAAGGAGTTGACTTATTAAGAATGGCTAAGCAGGCAAGACCTTTATTCATTAGAGTGGAGAAGAATAAGGGTTTAATCTTATTGAAACAAACAAAACCATGAGGGGCTTGACAGGGGAGATCTTGAGAAGATGATTCCACAGAATAAGGGGACATCATTGAAAACTGAGATGTGAAGGAATTTCTTCACCCAGAGGGTACTGAATGTCTGGAATTTTCTACTCCAAATAGTTGTGGAGGCTGGATAATGAAGTATTTATAGAGGAGGTAGATGGATTTTTGAAATATCAGGGAGTTCAGGCATATACGGAGTTGGCACAAAGGAGGAGCTGAGCCCTGGGACAGATCAGCCCTGACATTATAAAATGACAGTGCAGTCTAGAGGAGCTGAATGGCCTGTTCTTGCTCCGATTTCTTATGTTCTTATGATCCTATGTTCTTAAAATTAAGATTTTCTTTGCAAGGGACATACATTGTTCAGAATGTTAATTGACAATTCCAATGCCTGAAATAACATTTAAAAACATAACAGCACATTGCTGCTCAATACACTTATAATAAATGGGAGGGGGTAACACACTTAAATCGAAGATAGTAGGAACAGCCAATGCTGGAGTCTGAGATAACAAGGTGTGGAGCTGGACGAACACAGCAGGCCAGGCAGCATCAGAGGAGCAGGAAAGCTGAGGGTTTTGGGTCTGAACCCTTCTTCAGAAATGGGGGAGGGGAAGGGGGCTCTGAAATAAATAGAAAGAGGGGGAGGCAGTGATAGAAGGTGGATAGAGGAGCAGATAGGTGGAGAGAAAACGGACGGGTCAAGGAGTGGGGATGAAGCCAGTAAAAGGGGAGTGTAGGTAGGAAGTTGGGGTGGGGGTGGGTCAGTGAGATGGGAGGAACGGATAGGTGGGAGAAAAGACAGACTGGTGAAGGAGGTGGGGACGAGAGGGGAGGCTGGTCTTGGGATGAGTTCGGGGGTGGGGAGATTTTGAAGCTTGTAAAGTCCACATTGAGACCATTGGGTTCCCAGGCGGAATATGAGGTGCTGTTCCTCCAGTTTTCGGGTGGCATCGTTGTGGCACTGGAGGAGGCCCAGGATGGACATGTCGTCCAAGGAGTGGGAGGGAGAGTTGAAGGGGTTTATGACTGGGAGGTGTTGTCGTTTGTCACGAACCGAGCGTAGGTGCTCCACAAAGCGGTCTCCAAGCCTCCGCTTGGTTTCCCCCGTTGTAGAGGAGGCCACATTGGATACAATATACCACATTAGTGGATGCACAGGTGAACCTCTGTTTAAAGTGGAAGGTTTTCTTGGGACCTGGGATGGAGGTGAGGGGGAAGGGCGAGGTGTAGGGGCAGGTGTAGCACCTCCTGCGGTTGCAGGGAAAGGTGCCGGGGTGGTGGGGCTAGTGGGGAGTGCAAGGCGGATGAGGGAGTTGCGGAGAGACCGGTCCCTCCGGAAGGCAGATAAGGGTGGGGAGGGAAATATATCCTTGGTAGTGAGGTCAGATTGCAGGTAGCAGAAGTGGCGGAGAATGATGCGTTGAATCCGAAGGTTGATGGGGTGATACGTGAGGACAAGGGAATTCTGTCTTTGTTGTTATTGCGGGGAGGGGGTGAGAGGGCTGAGGTGCGGGAAAGCAAGAGATGCGGTCAAGGGCGTTTTCGACCACTTTGGCGGGGAAATTGCAGTCCTTGAAAAACGAGGACATCTGGGATGTCTGGGAGTGGAATGCCTCATCTTGGGAGCAGATGCGGCGGAGGCGAAGGAATTGGGAATAGGAGATAGCATTCTTGCAGGAAGGTGGATGAGAGGAGGTGTTGTCTAGCTTACTTAAATTGAATCTCATTTAGTATGTCACTTCACATGCACTAACCTTTGTACGATCAATTTAAACTGCTCCCTCTGACAGAGGCTTAGGAACTAATCACGAATATTGACAGCCAATAGGATTTCAACAGACACCAAACTCAGAAGAATAAAATCTGTAATTATATGGCTGCACTTCAAAAAAAAAATCAGTCCAAGACTCTCTTACCATCCTTCTCTAAAACCTCAGTCACAGGCTAGAACTGTTTTAAGTGGATGGACAGATTTCTGGAACATAAATAGTCCATTCCGGGAGATAAAATAAAAGAAAAGAACTGAAAATGCGTTCCCCAGGCCTCCAATAACACATCTCCCGACCACTGACTTTCTTATTTAAAATCATTTCCACCTTTACCTCATTTTCCTACTTCTATAATCCTTTCAGATTGCCTATTTTCCATCACCTTCTATTCAAATTGTAACAAAAGGCCAACAAAAGCAAAAAAAAAAGCACAAAACTGGGACAAATAAAAACAAGTGAAACCATTAAAGATTGTACCTTTTTTTAAATTTCTGGATGAAAATGAAAATGAAAAAGAGTTAAGAGGCAAAATATCAAGCAGACTGAAAAAAACCCATTAATAGGCTGAAAGAAAAAGAAGTGATACACCAAAATGATTAAGAACAGAACATAGAACAGTACCAGCACAGTACAGGCCCTTCAGCACAGTACAGGTTGTGCCGACCTATTATAAAGCACTATAAAAGATTGTTTATAAAGCACTTGCGGACAAGGATCGAAGAGAAATCCAACACAAATATTCTGGCAAAAAATATTCTAGCATGAACAGCCTTACAAAAACATGAGCCCCTAACGTAATCTAATCCTTCACAACAGTTACTATATATGCTTTAGCAGGCATGGCATATTGTCATAATAGATTGCACAGTACTTAACTGCTCTATTCTTAAGCAAAAGTATCAAGTGTCACCGGATTTTAAACTAATGCTGTTGATAAACATGTCAGGTGCAATCTAAGTTGGTGATTTCAAATCAATTATTCTACTCACTCAATGGACACCTGCAACAGAATAAACATGTCAAAACTAATATTATCGTTTTTAAGATAAATTCTCTAATGTGTCAATCAGACAAGGTAAACAAATAGATGCCTGGTCCTCATATCAGTACAATTATTCCAAAAACAGTATTCCATGAAAATTAATTGGTGGACCATAACTCTTAAGTAGCAGTGAATATGGACACAAGGCTTTCTCATAAGCACAAACAAGCCATACTCTCTTGTAGTTAGTGTTGTAAAACAGCAAAATGCAATAGGACCAGATGTGGATATAGGACAAACAACTGTATAAATCCATTGTGCATGGGGGCAGAAAGTAGGCGTTATGATTTTGGGCAGGCGAGGTGTGTGTGGGGGGTGGGAACAGATACTCATTTTGTTTTCAATGACTGCACGTATGAAAATATAGAACCACGTTTTTTCGTGCAAATGTGGGGGATGCAACACTTGCCCTTTGACTCCCTTACTTCTCATTATGCCAGGCCCCAAACATTCCCTCGAAGTGAAACAGTGATTTAATTGAAAAAAAAACTACAATTTAGCACGTTCCAGTGAAGTTGTCATGTTCAAGTGAAGCTCAACGAAAGCTCAAGGGACAATAACTTAAGTTTCATCTCGGCCTTCTGGTTTCAATGTGGAGTTCAACAATCTTAGATCATTACAAGATGATCAGAGGATTAGATAGGGTGGACAGTGGGAGCCTTTTTCCTCGGATGGTGATGGCTAGCACGAGGGGACATAGCTTTAAATTGAGGGGTGATAGATATAGGACAGATGTCAGAGGTAGGTTTTTTACTCA